TAACATGTCTGATGTTCATTGTGTGAGATATGCTAGGTATTGCCTTATGTTGTTTATATGCATTGGAATAAATACTGGCATCAATGCTGACCGATTTTTTGCTTGCTTGCCATTGTACCGAAACTGCCCACCTGAACAATTCTGTTGTATACTTGCTTAATCGACTAGTTTGGTGTTGTCCTGAATTATGTAAATTAGGTGATTCGTATATATTTTATTTAAGTCAGCCAAAGAAAGTAGAAATACTGTTCTCTCTAGGATAGTAGTGATCTTTAGATTCTCTTTTTTAATGTGATTTTACAAATATCAAAACATCTTGGCGGACCTAAGAGAAATATATTCTATGTTTCGCTTTATCGATTTAGTTTTGCTATTGTCATTCTTTAGCTATTGCCAGTCTGTAGGTGACCCGAAATTGAAACTGTTGAGAGGTTCAATAACAGTTCTTTCTGGGACTACGTGGGATCTATATATTTCATTTGCTTGTTACTATGTAACACTGAGTGTAACAACTTTGCAAAACACCATCTTTTGTGCTGCTATTGCAACTTCAGTAAAATCTAACAACATCTGTGATGATCTTTTATCAATATCTGAAAAAGTATAATCTAAAATACATTTGTTGACAATTATATTGCTCAAGGCATATTTCCTCCAAAACGGGTATGGAGAAGAATTGTAAATGCTACTGTACATAGTTATGAAGAACAATTATGGCGATCACAAACTCTATCGTTCAAGCATGTCATTTTATGCAACAACTCATACTACACTCTCTTACACCATACTTTCTGGCAACTGGCATATAAACACCCTAATTATAAATATTCCTTGCAATTTTGTGTCAAAATATTATCAAGAGGAAAAATCTCGAAAGAGTGTGCTCTTTGTAATAAACAAACATTTTGACCCTATGATTTCCACATACTTCTCCGCTGTGAAAACCTAATACAACAACGAAATGATTTCTTTGCATACTTAATTGATGAAACTTGATGTTGAAACTTACGTAAATATTTGAAATGCAAGGTGAACAAGATATGTTGTCATTTCTCTTCGGACCGAAAACGACTTTATAACTCTATAGATTCAACACTATGGGAAACGATACTGTTACGCTTTTCTTTGTATGTATATGACCTGAAACCTCACCTTGTGAACTGTTATACAGAATGATTCTCTTCATGTCATCAATTTCTGTAGATATATCTCTAAACATCCAATTATTAATATTCATGTGTACGTGTTGTAATATAATATGATGTTTTTGTTTGTAATCTTCGGTAACTACTGGAGGAAATAAAGACTCTCTCTCTCTCTATATATATATCTAAACAAAATCTAAATTTGCCTGTGATAAAATATGCTCTATTTAACATAGATTTTCATTGTAGACGGTTGTTAACAAAGTTTTGGGGTGGTAGTAATAATCGAGATGTAGTTAGTTCGAAGCGGTTTACCACTTACATTCATGAATGAGTATTCCATAATCACAATGATGCTATTGAGGATGAAGTCCATGTCGTGTATCACGAAATGAGGATTAATTAATGACACTTTAAACATGGTCATGAATATTCACTTAAGACGTTACCGCATATTTCCAGATGTTAATGTAATTGCAAATTGTAACCTGTTCTGTAACGTGTATTTTCTTACTGTATGTTAATGTAACTGCCACTTCCTTTCCCTATGCAAGCTGCAAACAGACTTTGTACCATGGGTCTTGAGGCCTTTATACAAAATAAAACACCGTCTGTCTGCCTGTGTCTCTGTCTGTCATTATTATATTATGTCAAAATATTGCAGTCAGAATAATATTATGCAGTTAGATGCATAATTATACGTATGACAAACTCATAATGTCGGTTTTATCCCCGCAACGCGTTTGCGGAAATATTCAAATAGCCTTCGTCTGCCCGTGCACATTTGTCTTTCCAGAGCTGAACTTTAAAACCGTTGAATATTTCTTCACCAAACTTGACACATCGATAGGTCTGGTGGTGTACTGGTGCCTTTTGGTAGTTTTGGATTTCTGATTAAAATCTATTTTGCGTTTCCATGGCAACAAGTTTGATTTCGACAGAAATTGGTGGTAGTGCTCTTTTCCGGTGCAGAACTTAAAAACAACTTTGTGCACTCTCCTTCCTATTTGCACTATAGTCACTGACTTGGTCGACACATATCATTTGTGGCAGATAGATGCTCATGCTGTTGATCACGGGATTGTCTGGTCTAGATTCGATTATTTACAGACCGCTGCCATATACCTGGAATATTGCTGAGTGGGGAATAAAACTCACTCACTCACTGATATACACAACAAAACATTTGACATAGTCATAACCAGTGGACATATACATAAAGAGTATTTTGCCATTGCGGGGAATATTGATGAATTTGTCTTCTTCTTATACCATATTTTGATCATAACATACTATATTCATTATTTTATCTTTTATCAGTTGTATTTCATTCCATTCAATTAAACTTCTTCACCGAGGAATTGATACATCACATAGTGGGTCAGTCTACAGTATACACTTAAATACAAAACGTATTGGGCCAGTCTACAGTACCCACTTACATACATAACGTAGTGGGTCAGTTTACAGTATACACTAATATACATGACGTAGTGGGTCAGTCTACAGTACACACTTACATACATGATGTAGTGAGTCAGTCTACAGTACAGACTTACATACATGACGTAGTGAGTCAGTCTACAGTACACACTTACATACATGATGTAGTGAGTCAGTCTACAGTACACACTTACATACATGATGTAGTGAGTCAGTCTACAGTACAGACTTACATACATGACGTAGTGAGTCAGTCTACAGTACACACTTACATACATGACGTAGTGGGTCAGTCTACAGTGCACACATTACGTAGTGGATCAGTCTACAGTACACACTTACATACATGATGTAGTGAGTCAGTCTACAGTACACACTTACATACATGACGTAGTGAGTCAGTCTACAGTACACACTTACATACATGACGTAGTGGGTCAGTCTACAGTGCACACATTACGTAGTGGATCAGTCTACAGTACACACTTACATACATGACGTAGTGGGTCAGTCTACAGTACACACTTACATACATGATGTAGTGAGTCAGTCTACAGTACAGACTTACATACATGACGTAGTGAGTCAGTCTACAGTACACACTTACATACATGATGTAGTGAGTCAGTCTACAGTACACACTTACATACATGATGTAGTGAGTCAGTCTACAGTACAGACTTACATACATGACGTAGTGAGTCAGTCTACAGTACACACTTACATACATGACGAAGTGAGTCAGTCTACAGTGCACACATTACGTAGTGGATCAGTCTACAGAACACACTTACATACATGATGTAGTGAGTCAGTCTACAGTACAGACTTACATACATGACGTAGTGAGTCAGTCTACAGTACACACTTACATACATGATGTAGTGAGTCAGTCTACAGTACACACTTACATACATGATGTAGTGAGTCAGTCTACAGTACAGACTTACATACATGACGTAGTGAGTCAGTCTACAGTACACACTTACATACATGACGTAGTGGGTCAGTCTACAGTGCACACATTACGTAGTGGATCAGTCTACAGTACACACTTACATACATGACGTAGTGGGTCAGTCTACAGTGCACACATTACGTAGTGGATCAGTCTACAGTACACACTTACATACATGATGTAGTGAGTCAGTCTACAGTACAGACTTACATACATGACGTAGTGAGTCAGTCTACAGTACACACTTACATACATGACGTAGTGGGTCAGTCTACAGTGCACACATTACGTAGTGGATCAGTCTACAGTACACACTTACATACATGACGTAGTGGGTCAGTCTACAGTACACACTTACATACATGACGTAGTGGATCAGTCTATACAACACACTTACATGCATAACGTACTGGGTCAGTCTACAGTACATATTTACATATATGTCAGAGAGGGTCAGTCTACAGTACATATTTACATATCTGTCAGAGAGGGTCAGTCTACAGTACATACTTACATACATGACGTAGTGGGTCAGTCTACAGTACACACTTACATACATGTCGTAGTGGGTCAGTCTACAGTACAGACTTACATACATGACGTAGTGGATCAGTCTACAGTACACACTGTGCATAGGAACATGGAATGCTAGAGTTGTAATGTACAGTGGGCAGTACCTAGAGACATTAGCAAATCACTGCGATACCCTTGCTGTGTGTGAGCATTGGCTTAATAACAGAACTCATTGCTGGTTTGATTGTCTGCATGACACGTTTGATATTAGATATATAATTAAAGCAGATCAGAAAGGATATAAAGAAGAAGGTGGGGTGGCACTACTAGTTAAGAAAAATATGTTCAGAGAGGTTTATGAATGTGAATGCGAGTATGATAGTGTTGTAGCTGTGCGACTGTCTCGCCCCCAGTGTGGTGACATGTATATAGTCTGTGCTCTGCTTCCCTCCACTAATCACAGCACAGCAGAGTTTGAAGAGAGTGTCAAGGAGGTGTTTGATGTTGTAGACGAGCTATCAGAACGTGGCTATGTTATATTATGCGGGGACTTCAACACAGACCTGGTCCACAATGCAGGATCCAGTAGGTCTGTTATTCTTCAGACTTACCTAGACTCAAGGAATATGCTGTCGTCAGTCGACTGTGGTGATACTAAAGGAAATATGAAGACATGGCACAATAAAACTGGAACACAGTCATCATTGATTGACTATATCTTTTTAGCAGTGTCCCTGAAATCATCAGTGTAAGTGACAACTATACATAATGATGTTACATACGACATATCTGACCACTCTCCCGTTGTGACGAAACTTATAAGCGACATGTTCCTAACAGGACAAAAAGTGTGGAATCCAAAACCTTTCAAATGGAAAAAGGCTGATGCTACACAACTAAACATGTATTCATCAGAGGTCGACAAGATGCTGGGGAACACCATGCCGAGTCTAAAGGATTGTAGCGGTGATATGGTGGAACACTACTACGATGCTATTGTGAGCTCTATCCACACCTCAACAGTGATGCATATACCCACAGGACACTACAGGCCGTACCTGAGACCGTACTGGAGAGGTTCGAGTCTGGACTACTATCACTTCCAGATGCGACAGACCAGACGACAATGGATATCCGAAGATAGGGCCAGAGGAGATTCATATGATCCTACAGAGCATACAAAGAAAGCTAAATGCGTCTTCGACGACAGAAGAGAAAAGCTGAAAGGGAGTGGGACCGAGAGAAGTACACAGAGCTCCACTCTGCCTGTGAAGTGGACATTGGCGAATTTTATCGTACTGTTAGAAAACAGAGAAGGTGTAGTGTGACTTGTACGTCCCTAGAATACAAGGAGATGACCGCAAACACTCCTGAGGACATATGTTCTATGTGGGTCGGCTACTACCAGGACCTGCTCTCCCAAATAACCCGACCTGAGTTCGACTCTGACTTCTACGAAGACACCAAATCAAGAGTGAATGAAATGTCAACCCATCAGATTTCAAGGATGATCCGATCCTGAAGACACCAGTGACAGCCATCGACGTGAGAAAGAGCAATAGGATCTTTGAAAAGAACAAGTCTCCAGGGCCTGACTGTGTTACAGCGGAACACTTATGCAATGCTGGATAACTGCTCTATAAACATCTGGCTCACCTCTACAACACGATGATTAGCTCCTGCTACACTCCTCAGATGATGAGAACTGGAACCATTATTCCAATATACAAGGGAAATAACAAGGACAAAACCAACCCAAGTAATTACCGTGGAATAACCCTGACATCTGTCATTGGCAAGATATTTGAGAGACTGTTGCTGACCAACATAGAATCCTATCTTAAAATGGCAAACCCAGGCTTTCCAAACCGCCTCCAGTGTGGATTCCGCAAACAGCATGGAGCTAACATTGCTACGTACGTCCTGAAGGAAGCTATCTCATACTACCAGGATAGGAACTCAAGCATGTATGCTGCTTTCCTAGACAACGAGAAGGCCTTCGACAGAATATGGCACGACGGACTCCTCCTGAAACTACACACTATTGGTGTGAAGGATCGTGCATGGCATCTAATCCAGCAATCATATAAAAGCACAAGCCTGTGTAAAGTACAACCGGATGACAAGTGATGTTTTTTATATCCACCAAGGAGTAGGACAAGGCCGAGTGTTATCAGCATGGATGTTTCTAGTCTACATCAATGACCTCATTTCGGAGCTCGACCAATTACAATGTGGACTAATCATTGGCACGAATCACATCCCGACGGTTCACCTGCTGACGACACCACAGTCGTCAGTACTACTGTATATGGTCTCAATATGGCTCTTAACAAGATCCACCAATATGCCTGCCGTTGGAGAATGACATACAACGCCAATACAAGCTGTGTCCTGTCCATCACAAATTCTACAAAATATCTCAACAAACCCGTTTTCAGAATAGGGGATGTAAGATTGCCAATCAAATCCAACACTGTGTATGGGGGATCCATCATGCATATAGAGAAAGCAAGAGAAAGGACAACTCGTGCATGAGCCAAGGCAAAAAGAGCAATAAACTTACTACGAGATGTAGGATTACGAGCTGGTTGATTAAACCCTGTGTCATCGTCCAATATCTGGCAAAGAGTTATCTTTCCTTCTGCATTCTACGGATGTGAGCTATGGAGCAATATCAGCAGCACCGAGATGAATGAAATGGAAATTGTCCAGCGCTACTTTGCTAGAAGAGTCCAGAACCTCCACAAGAGATCTCCTACAGTTTGCTACAGCTCAGGTGCTAGGACTATGGTCAATGCAAGGCAGAGTAGATAAATCAAAGCTCCTGTTTTGGGGCCGACTCTGTCGCTCAGCCAGTACCAGTATTGTGAAGCCTATCTTGTATTTGAGATTTGCGGAATATATGTCTACTGTGGTAAAAAGTACAAGATCGATTGCCCATGACCTCTTGAATGCAGCTCACAAATATGGATTTTCAGATATCATTGACACTTTCATGACAACAGGAGAATTTCCATGCAAAAATGTATGGAATTCCATGGTACAGAAGGCTATATGCCACCACGAACACACGGAATTGAGAAATAAACTCCAAGAGCGTCCAAATATGCAGAGATTTGGTGCCATTGATACGCGCCTCTCTCCTCATCGTCTCTGGAACCTGTGTTTGTGTTATAACATGGCCACCCTCCTGTCTATACTCTGCTAAAGTTGGGTATACTGCCCGTCACACTTGGACTGTGTCTTATATGCGAGACTGAAAGTGAGGACATTGTAAAACATCAACTCCTATACTGTAACAAGCTGGTAGAAAACAGCAATGCACTGAGCGAGCATCTGTTTGATAACGTGTCTCTTGACCGGTATATGAGACTCGAAGATGCAGAAGACGAGATTAAAATCCTCACATACCTTGGTTCCATTACTCCGGTTGTGCAGGACATGACCCTTGATAGCTGGGCTAGGTTCATGAGCATTATTGCAAAACGCATCAGTGCATGGAACTTAGCCAGCATTCTGTATGTATAAGAATAGCATGCAATGCTTTGTACATATTGCCCAGTGATCATCTGTTGCCAAGAGCTCTGATTTCTTATGTTCTGTTGACTTTTCCAAATATTATTGAACTTTCTATTTTGTCACAAATGTGGGTTATGCTCTAAAAATATATACATAACTGGATGTATAACTCTCCAAACCATTGTTGGAAATAAAGAACATTCATTCATTCATTCATTCATTCATTCATTCATTCATTCATTCATTCATTCATGATGTAGTGGGTCAGTCTACAGTACACTAACATACATGACGTAGTGGGTCAGTCTACAGTATAGACTTACATACATGACGTAGTGAGTGAATTTACAGTACATACGAACGTTTTCCCGAAACCTTGTTCTGGGTCGTTTGTTTGATGTTTAACGCTGCACACAGCAATCTCCCAGGTATTTGGGGCAACCGAAAAGGAAACACAGTGTCTACAAGTAGGAGTAGGAGGAGTAGGAATAAAAGTGAGAAAACATGATCGATTGCTTGGTGGTTTAGTCATTGCGACCAATCTTCAATTATTTCAAGTAATCGGACCACCACTATTGAGCAGTAGGAGTATGAATACACAAATACAGTATTATTTTTTTTCATTGATACAGCATACTAGCTTAAGACCGATGGATTTTAAATAGCATCATCAATATATCTGATACATGGAGTAAACTTACATTACCCACAGGTAGTCTCACGAGTTAATGTATTCGCCACCACTCTCCCTTTCCTTAAACTACCACGAGACGCACCCTATGTCTCTGAATGTTCTTTGCAAAAATGCGACATACCAAACAGAATGCGTGTAATGATTGAGTATTTTGGTCACAATAATCACGATTACTTGAATACAGCATGGCAGCAGAGGATCGTTTTGACATTAATCGTAGTGATGTTATGTTATAGATAATATTATAGATATATGAAATATTATTGGTTGTACATACATGTTAGTGTGCTGAGCAGATATGTTGTAAATGAAACATAGTGTAACAAAGTAGGCAACGTAGAATTAAGAACTTAGTGCATCTGTAGACAAGACAGATTATATTAATGTATGTACTGGCCGGGAAAGCTGAGCTGGGCTGAGCTCACTGGAGTACCGTAGTGACCGGCTGATGACCCGTAGAGGTCAAGGGCGAGGGGATATCCCGGGAGGTCCGAACGAAGTTCGTCAGTTGGGCTCTGCCTCAGGGAATAAATGGAAGACTGACTGACTGACTGACTGAGTTTGGTTTTACGCCGCTTTCAGCAATATTCCAGCAACATCACGGCGGGAATAACGGAAGAAGCTACATCCCTGTGTTGTCGTATTTATTAAGATAAGATAAGTGGTGGAAATGTGGGGCTCATGGCTTCCAAGGACAAGGTGTCCCAACCATCTAATGCTGGTCCTGTAACACGAAGTCAAAGCCCATGAACACTGGAACCCATGCAGAAACCTCAACCGACCATGGTCCAGGCACCTGAAGACAATACACCACCTGTAGACGATCATAAGTTTTCCAACAATCTAGCACCTTCTCCTTGGTCTGGAACTGAACAAATTGGACAATTTTGGTTCCAGCGCTTCGAGCGTTTTTCCAAATTAAAGAGATGGACCGATCAAGAGAAATGCAACGCATTTCCCTTGCTACTGAGGTCAAAGGCGCTAATGTGGTATGACGATCTGCCACAAGCGCCACAGGAATCTTGGGAGCGTCTAAAAAAAGAGTTTCTTAACAGATACAGCCGCCACTGACATAAAATTGCTTCAGCGGTTCCACATGGCGAAACAGGGACCAGCCCAATCCGTCGATGATTTCGTCGCAGAAATCACGAGTTTGGCCAGACGCCTCGACTGTGACCTCGACCAAGTCCGCCAGGTCGTCTTGATGGGTCTCAGACCATCAATACACACTGGAAAAAAAATCCATCTTTCCAAGCTTGGAAATGTCTTGGAAAGATGATGTTTCAAGACATTTCAATTTTGGAAAGATGATGTTTCCAAGACTTTCCAATTTTGGAAAGATGATGTTTCAAAATTTCCAATCTTGGAAATATCCGCAAGGGGAGATAACTGGTGGGTGATGGTAAATTATTGTTCTGCATGGGCTAATTGCAATAGTGGCATGGGGCGGCATGAGTCTTTCATGGGGTCGTTAAGGCGACTGGCGGTAGTCTTTGATGTTTGGTGTTGTTTTAGTAATGATTGTTTAAGGGGTTAACGAAAGGATAATCGACTTGACTAGTCGAAATTGCAGTGGTGAACACATTTTAAATGTTCAATGTTTTAGGTGAAAAGTGAATTTTGTCACGTTTAGTTTAGGTATGTGTCATCGTAAGCTTATATCTAGTGAGTGAGAGTTAATTTCGTACAAGGGCCACCGACCCGTTATACAATTATGAAGATAACAATACAATCCAGCGCCATATATAATATTAAGCTGTATGTTTACATGTACAATGTCTTATTTAACCTTATACTCTATATTCGACAACTTCGCTCTTTTGTCAATGCAAAAATATAAACTTAGCAAGATTGTTAACAGTTGTAGAATTGGAAGACAATAATAAGTTGATAAATTTAGTTTCACATGGATTATTTATGTAGTATTGTTGTAGCAGGCTGTTTCTCAGATCACAGTAAAATGAACATTTAATAAAGAATTGGTACTCTGATTCAATGGTAAGTACAATACACAGAGGGCAGAATCGCTCATGTTGTTTTATATTTACTTTTCGCCCATATTCCAACATTAAAGGATGGTCTGAACAACAGAAACCTACTCGAGGCAAAACGAATCGTTGCGTTGCCATCAATCGTTGCGTTGCCATCAGTCGTTGCGTTGCCCTCCTAGGGGTCAGTGATGGTGTCACCATGCACTAACTTCCACCGGACCCCGTAGTTCGTGCTAGATGGGTTATGTTTGTGAGTGCGAAGCGAGCGTTGTGGAAGCTTGGAACGATATCTTAAATATGTTCAGATCGCTTCGCGGCAGTTAAAGAATCAAAACAACCTACTAGTATTAGTACAATAAATATATGATTGATGACCAAAAAGATTTCCCATGACACAACTTGAAGCATAACGATTTCTTTCTCGGAAGCGAGGTTGTGGTGGAAGTGGCAATAATATTGTAAGTAGTATTATATTGACACCCACCTCGCTTCCACGAGAGAAATTGTTATGTTATAAAGATATGTCATTCAAAATCCTATTTGACATCAATCAAATACAGATTTTACTACCAGTAGAAAGTAGTTTTGATTTTGTAACTCGGTGAAAACCAACCTAAATAGCATTTATTCTCAGACTGGCGGATGTTTTTAATAATCGTAACATCACGGGCTAAAGTCTGTTAAAGAATTAATGAGATTATGGTTTGTTTTCATCAAGTTAGAAAATCGAAACTACTTTCTACTCATAGTTAAACATGTATTTGAGAAATGGCCAACAGGATTTGGCATGACACAACTTGTAACATAACGATTTCTTCCTCGGAAGCGAGGAAGTGACAATACTGCCCAATAAATTTCTTGCTACATTCACGTGGTAAACGTCCACTCACCAGTATGTAGATACTAGTCAACGTGCGTCTTTATATTTGGTCTTATTATCCTAATTAGTTTATTATCATACTTGTATGCATTTTGAAACTAAATAAAAATCAGGCGATCTGCCTATACTTATAACTGGAATATCTAGACATTTTATAGTTTGCCAATGTAAATCATAATTCGCACACGCCCTAGTGTATGTTGTCATTACTTCACGACGAAAACAATGATTCTGTGGAATGCTACGAAAAATGAAAAAAAACCAAAATGCAATTATTAAAATTAAAACAGATTAGAGTTATAAGAACAATGTCAGGCGATTACTTTGTTCAAGGAATGTATCCATCAATATCCACAAAAATGAGTGATATACCATTCACCTGCAGCAGTTCCAAATGATGTGTCTTTTAACAGTCTAATACATGTTTACGAAAAGTGATATATCGTTTCAGGTATCTCACATTGGTATATAGTCTCATTGGTCACCAAAGATAGCATACCTGGGAACTAATTGCATAATGTCCGCCATTCTTTACAAAAAAATTAATTTAGTTAGCCAATAATGAGAATCTATGTCTTGGCGGTTAATCCTTGGAAAGAAGGAAGTTGTTTTACGCAGACACGACAGAGTGTATTCAGTATAGATTAGTAAATCTACATACACAAACACTACCTTTTGACAAATCCGCTGTGTAAGATAAAAGTATGGGTTAATCGTTTGATCGATGTTTATAATGTTGAGTATTTACTCCAGACACAAGAAATGCAAAATGGGAACATTTGTCGGGTTATCTAAGTGGTGTTACCACCAATTATACCTGTTATAAATTCATTAACTGACCATCAAGTGAATGATGACAAATGACATGTGTAGGTTTATACCACCTAACACGGGTTACAACAAGGGAGTATTAATTGCTGTATTGCATGTGAAAACCTATGGGCCGACACTATTTTGAGAATACGGACAGAACTTCATTGTTGCATAAGAAATACATATAAGCATTTGCTGTGTGCTAAAACTGTATTTACCTATTTACCTAAGTAAATTTTCAGAGTCTTCTAGCAATAGCAAAGTGCAAGGATGTGTTAAAAGTAGAAACGCAGTCAAACAGTTACTGTTCGAATTGCATGAAATATGCAAGAAGCATGACATATTCAAGAACAATGTTTCCAATTTTGGAAATATGAGATTCCCAAAATGTACAATTTTGGAATATATCTACAAAGGGAGATAACTGGTGGGTGATGGTAAATTATTGTTCTTTGCACGCCCCAGGACCTAATCCCTTGTTGATTGATGAAGTGAATCAAGGCAGTTAATAGTCACCAATTAACAAGGCCTACCGCCTTGTTAATTAACACGTTTTATGCCTCTTAAAGAAGCCTCTGGAAGTAAGTTAAATCTTTGATGGGCATTAAGAAGTGGAATGCATTACTGTGACCTGATTTTCACCTGATGAAGGAGCAAGCATATGCTCGAAACTTCGTGTTATTCTCAATAAAAAGTAGACATCCATAACTCTTATTTTTCTGATTAAAAGGTAAGTTATTAAAATCTGCTGAGCTGTAGGTTTGTTAATCATGTAGCGATGTGATTATTGCTCTAACACACCTGAGAGATTCGTCAACAGTGCGGTATGCACAGGCGGTGAAAATTGTATTGTATTACATTGGGTTGGTTGCATATTGTTTTGTTTTATGCTGTCAGTTTGTATGTATGTGTGAATGAGGAACCTCACATATTATGACATTGAAAACAGACTAAACTTAACATTATTCCATGGTCAATATCGCAATGTTTGTGAAATGGTAGTATACGGAAGTTTGTTTCACATTTTTGATAATACCTTCTTTTATGCAGATAAATTTATTAAAAATGAATGAATAATGCCATGCTTCTCTCAGAGTAAGGGAAGATAATTTATAGAGTGATTCTCATCAAATTAGATATGTCTTTATCGTCCGAACAGAATTCACAAATTACGGATGTTTTGTGTGGGTGTGTGTGCATGCACGCGTGTATAACATCTAACTTGATAGGTATTAATTAAAATCAGGCCGATTGTAACCATAATGACTTTATTGGTTGGAACACTCCAAAACAAAAATAATTTCACTCTTCAAAGGAACTGGAACAGTAACATTTTTCATGTTTTCATATGAGCTTCAAAACATTGAATGAAATAAATGCTGTATGATGAAATGGATCAGAGAACATTAGAATGGCATACATGACGTGTGAATGACACATGTAATGGTCAAAATATATAATCACTATGTTAGTTAACTCATGACCAGACACGTCAAACTGGTACCGATAGATTTATGTCTAATATGTAAAATGCAGTATTTCTTAGAACCTGAAATAGAAAACACGACTTTGGAATGAGATGTTTTAATCTGAGATGAATCTGTTAGGTAGCAGTTTACTTAAGTAGAACTTAAATCAACTTCAAAAGATTGGTCATTCGCAAAGTGAAGCAGTTTCCACTTATACTGCAGTAAACAGTATGGGGATACACAACGAAACATACCACTTATGTGATAACAACTCCATGTTTATTGCATAGAGCGGCATTCCGATGTACAACGTTCAGGATAGACAAGCTGATTGAATGTTCATTGATTCCATCACTTGGACAAAGGGTGGATTTAGACTTGTTGATCTTACTCTCCTGTTGGCCCCAACGATGTGCTAGTTGCTGAATTACCTGGTGTTAATTTGCTGCTAGTCACTATGCATATATACTTCTGTTCACCTGGTTGTAGTAACTGTTATCTTGATAACGGCGTGAGAATATACATGGAAACTCCCTCTATCGACCTTTGGTCCAAACAGATGAGTTAAGAGAAATGTTGATGTCCGTCCGTTACCAAATTAACATTGGATTATAGAGACAATGACAGGCCTACGTGTTGATAGAAGAGGATATTCCGGATTATGCGAATGACAGCACACCAAATGAGAAAACGAGCCAAATATATGTATAAAGATAGTGTTTCATTTCAGTCTCAGCATATAAACATTGAAATATAAAACACATAAAAAACATAGAAGGCGTAAGCCACGAGTGGTAACGGGAGACTATATGGACAGATTCTATTTAATCGAAATCGAGATGTACACTTTCATGCTTCTTCTCATTACATGTATATATCCCCATGTAATAAGAGGGAACTGATCCAGAGCGATTAATGTTTCTCGCCAACAGTCTAATTACCAAACCAAACTGCACGCTTGTCGGTATCTGCTCCCTCAACCATGACGGACACAGGGACTGGGCTTCTGGCCACCTTGACAAAATTTCTTCAACCCAAACAGCGGGACATTAGGAAGGGTGGATGCTCATCAGATGTTGTTACATGTATTTGAGAATACCCCAGTAGTTCCTGTCTGATTGCAATAAAGTATACAAGCAGTGTATATGCTTTTCGGATTTTTAATGCATAGATGGCATAGTGACTGATCAATTTTCCAATTTGATCTTATTTCTGTGTTTTTACCTCGATATTTAATCATGCAAGGTAAACATATGATGTCTATTACATATTGTATTAATGACAAATGAAACTGTACTCAGGTATATACAATTTTAACTTCAGTACACATCAATGCTTATATGTATTTCTTATGCGTTCCGTTAAGTTCCGTTCATATCCTCCAAACAGTGTCGGCCCATAACTTTTTCAGGCAATTAACATTGCATGCAATTCAGCGATTACTACCCCCTTTGCTGTAACCAGCTGAGTGTTTGGTGGTATAAACTTACACATGTTATTTGTCATCATTCACTTGATGGTCAGTTAATGAATTTATAACAGGTATGATGGTAATACCAATCAAGTTACCCGCCAAAGGTTCCCATTTCGCATTTCATGTGTCTGGAGTAAATACATCTACTCAGCATTATGAATTAAGGTCTGATGTGACAAATGTATTACATGTTATGCAATATGCTCATGGAACTGCAGCAAGACGAATTATCAGCTGAGATACAAAACAAACATTGATCAAAGGGTTAACCGATAACACGCTGATTGATTAATTACTTTTTTCTTTCACAGCGGATTTGTCAAAAGGTAGTGTTTATGTATGTAGATTTACTAATCTATAGTGATTACTACCTGTCCTGTACCCTGTACCTGTAAAAACCTGTAAAAACAACATCTTTCCTTCAATGTATTAACCGCCAGTAAGTTGATGGGGGTGTTCCTCTTTTACCAGTCGGGCAAGTTGTTTATTTAAGGCGTAAGAGGATCACCAGACCATGTTAATTAGCAAGACAATGGTATGGGTGGGTGGGGAGGGTGGGGAGGAGATGACCAAGCCAAAGAAAAACACAAGTGGATTAAATGCTCATTATTGGCTAATTAAATTACCTTTACCAATGAGATTATACACCAATGTGAAAACTGAATCAATGTATCCCTTTTTCGGGTATTAGACTGTTAAAAGACACTTGACATGGAACAGGATTCTTTGTCAGCTGCAGATCAATGGCATATTGTTCCTTTATGTGGAGGTAGTGTCCCATTTTTGACAGCGTCTTGGTCACTGATTCGCGAAGTTTCGCTCTCAAACATGGGATAACTAGCTGCACCAATTAAGGGTAGTTATGTTAATGCAATCACCTGAGAGAAGTACAGAACAAGTAAAATCGGAGATTCTACCAGATCACAGTCTCTACCCTGACACATACATTGACTTCGTTATTTTTCAGTCCTGACATTTTTTACCACTGGCAGATGATTAAACTTCAAACTGTTTTCATTTGTTATAATCAAAATGATGGAAATATTATCGAGTAAAACAAGATTTTATTTTTGTTGATCAATCTACACCTATACGATCAATTGCGCATGCGGGTTGCGCAGCAAAGGTCACGAACCAATCGAAAATACTGGGATATCATCCGGGTGTTCAGGAGAAAAGCAATAACAAAAGCAACAACCAGTGCGCGGAAATTGCTCTGGATCAGTGCCCTTTTAAATGTGTTTACCATATGATTGTTTTGATCATGTTTTACACGGTCGGCTTCAGTGTGCGATGTGTTCACTTCCATCAACCACCAGCTTGTAATAACACGTCACATGAGATTAACCATGTGCTAAAATAACACCCAAACTTTAAAGCGTACCCCTTGTCAATGTCCTGAGCCATATAAGAATCGAAAGGTCGGCTTCCTGAGTCGACATCTCAAACTATGGTATGTAAGTGGTAATAATTCCTGAGCATTAGAGAACAGATTGGTTTGTTTGGAATTTAATGCTTTTCATAAACTAGAATCTGATAAACTATTTGTCTCTGGAATCACCTGTGATATGAACTTGTGTAGTGATTTCTCTAGAAATTATTTAACGTTATCTAAAATAGCGACATTTAGTCACCTTTTATTGTATATGACCAAATTAATTAGTTACAGTATGAAGTTTTTAAGAAGGAATTCATTTGGGTTCTTTTTGCCCCAGTCCGCCTGTGTGTGGACAATATAATAATTATCTATTATTAAGTTCATGATATTTCGTGAATACACCAACTGCATAACACTGTCTCTGACCACAAACCCAAACGGGTTGCTCTCTATTCGCCTACAGTCTTAAAACAACATTTCATGGTCTGTTGACTGTTGATTTCGCAATGATAAACCACCCAAACGGTCCATCCCTTGTGTCAGGTGTTAATTAGAGGGTACCATTAAAGAATGTATTCTACTACAATAAGCCTATTATTCCCTGGCAAGGGGTTCACTTTTATGACATGTAATAAACCCTGGCCAGTCAGTCAGTGGGTCCGGTAAACTTTTATTTAATCAATGATGTAACGTAGGTCTATGTAATTTGTGTTTATGCAAACCGTGACAGGTCAAAACTATTTGCGCTTTTGTGGATAATAAGTAAACCATGCACTTAAAACTGTATTTTGGAAAATGCTAGCCATATCAGGGCAAATATGACAGTTAATGTCAATTTTGACACATAGAACAACAAGGATGCAGACGAGAGAAGTTATACCAGGAATAATCTACAACGTCTTATAGTCTCCCTGGTTATAGTTGCTCGCATAGGAGGACGAATACACTCCTAGGAGGACGAATACACAGTCTATACACTCACGGGGATCCTTGGGAAAAGGATAAACTGAAAGAAGTAGTGGTAAAATCCTTCCTAAATTTCCAAAATTTCCAAGCCTTGGAAATATCATCTTTCAATTTTGGAAATTTTTGGAAAGATGATATTTCAAATTGGAAATTTTTGGAAATCACCATTTTTCTTGTGATATCCTCTCAAAGTCAAATCAACCGGCAATATTAGGTTTGAACTTCGTACAAGATCAATCTGCTACCATAGACTTTCATGCTCATATTCTAAAAATTCAAAATGGCATAACTGAAACTCCTTTAATAGAAACCCCAGGCAATGATTTTTACTACTCATGTTTCTAGCACAGTTACTGTTCCTCCCAGATCAGAAGCTGTCATTCCAATCACTGTTAAGCTACCTCGTAAACAAGAGCACAAATTGGGACTCTGCACACCCACATTTACACTTGCGGACGCTTCTAAGTTAGGGCTCCCTCAGATCAAAATACTTTTGTACCATCTGGCGAACAATTGATTCAAACAGCAATGAATCTTGGCTTTGATTTTTCTCAATCAGATTTAACCTCAAACCAGAAAACTGAAATCTTACCCTTTTTAGGATCGAACCGAGACATTTTCGCTACAGGTCTTAATGAGTTGGGATGCACAGATATTTATTATCACAATATTAATACAGGTGATGCCCAGCCTGTTCGTCAACCATGTTATAGAACTGGTCCCAAAATGGGAGAGGAAATTGATAAACAAATTAAACAGCTTTTAGATCATGATATCATTGAAAAGTCCATTCCCCTATGGCAGGCACCTGTAGTTATGATTAAAAAGCCTTAAGGCCAGTACAGACTATGTTGTGACTTCCGTAGGCTGAATCACGTAACACTGCCGTAATTCCAAACTTTGCCACGAATAGGCTATGTTTTTGGCACCATGGGTGAAAAACACGCAACTATGTTTAGCGTTCTTGACTTATTTAATGGATTCCATGAGATAAAACTTGACCCTGACTCAAAACACAAAACTAGTTTCGCAGTCCACAATGGTCAGTATCAATTCAAGCGTATGCCTATCGGATTATGTATTGCACCAGCTACATTCATGATTGTTATGACGGAAGTACTGAGAGGTTTGCATTGGAAATCCGCTATTGCTTATTTTGACGACCCCGTTGTCTACTCTAAGAATTTTGAACAACACTTGAAAGATCTCAGTTTAGTTTTCACAAGGTTGAGAGAAGCCGGTCTTAAAGCAAAGCCCAGCAAATGTAGCTTTGCAGCATCCCGAGTTACTTATTTGGGTTATGTTTTGTCAAAAAGATGGCATCACTGTCGACCCAAACAAGATCGAGACTGTTCAAAGCTTTCCCCAACCAAAATCAGTGCATGAAGTACGTGCATTTTTAGGATTAGCAAATTTCTATAGACGGTTTATAAAAGGATTTTCTCACATTGCGGCACCCCTAACAACACTCTCAGGAAAGAAACACCATCTGTTTGGTCAGATAGATGTGATGCAGCCTCTCATTCACTAAAACAATTGCTCATTTCAAAACCAATCTTAAAATATCCCGACTTTTCCAAACCTTTTCTTCTCACGACAGACGCCAGTTGCCATGCAATCAGTTATATTCTTGGACATCGGGACGAGGATATTAAGGAGTATGCAGTAGCCTATGGAGGACGGGGTTTAAGAGATAACGAAAAGAAATGGAGCATCTCGGAACGCGAATCTCTCGCAGTAGTAGAAGGAATCAAACATTCACAATCACTTCGAGGTCATAACAGATCACAGTGCATTGAAATGGTTAAAAACGTGTAAGGACACACATGGTCGTCTCGCCCGCTGGTTCATACAACTAGCAGGGTACCATTATACAGTTACATACCGACATGGCAAACAAAACACTAATGCCGATTCACTCTCACGTAGATCGTATGAAATTGGTAATCCAGATTCCACGGTAGATGAACATCTTCCAGATATTTTCAACATAGACATTTTAGACACAGATTCCAACACTTCCAATCAGGAAACCACCGATATATCAGAAGCACAATCCAAAGTCACGGTAGATACATCCCAAATCAAAACTTTACAGAGATCACATCCATATGTTCTCAAATATATTTCATACTTACACGAAGGTTCACTTCCGTCTGAGGACAACGTGGCTAGACGTTTGATTCTAGAAGCACAGGATTCTATACTTGATGACAATGTGTTGTATCATCTATATTACCCACGCGGTAAGGGGGACAAAACAGAACGCTTGATCAAACAACTAGTAGTGCCAAAATCGCTGCGTGATGACATACTGATGGCTTACATGATTCACTAATGGCAGGTCATCAGGGTGTAGAACGCACTTACCAGCTAGTTCGTTATCGCTACTTTTGGCCGGGTATGTACAATGATATCAAAACTTATGTTAAAACGTGTATTGCATGTCAGAAATCAAAACGAATGAACAAAAACGTTAAGGTTCTATTACATCCGCTACCTGTCGGCAGTCTATTCTCAAGGTTACACGTTGATATCGTAGGTCCTCTCAAGAAAACGGCATATGGATATCAATATGTCCTCGTTGTTGCGTGTGCTTTCTCTAAATGGGTGGAACTATTTCCCCTGAAGACAATGCAAGCAACTGAAGTCGCGAAAATCTTGTACAATGAGGTATTTTGTAGATACAGCTGGCCACGGGAACATCTCACAGATAGAGCACAGAATTTCAATTCAAAACTGATTACTGCACTTTGCAAAATATTTAACATAGTCAAACTCCGCACTTCAGCTTACCATCCATTCAGTAATGCAACTGTAGAACGCTTTAATAGTGTTTTAGAAGAAAACCTTCGTGCATACGTTTCCGGGGATCAGACAGACCGGCCTGACTTGCTTCCCAGTGTGTGCGTATCGTGTTACACCGGCCAGCAGATCAACACAGTTTAGTCCATACTATCTGTTATTTGGCAAAGAATGTGTCTTACCAATCGACACCGCTTACACTCCAGACAAC